TGTCGGATTATTAAACCTAAAAGTCAAATCAAACCACGTAGGGTCGGTTTTTGTTGGTTCTGGTCGGTTCTTTCGGTTTTTATCAACTTTTTGATTTTTTTTGTTTTTTTATAACTATATGGTATTTTGAAAAAGAGATCAAATATATTTTCATGTGATAAGCTAAACTTAAGAAATGTTAAATGATTGTAAATTTTCGTAAAATCGATAAAATTCATATGAGTACAAAATATATTTTTTAAAAAAATATCAACGTTCATTACGTTAAATTAATAATATTGAAGGATACGGTCAAACTGAATACAAAACGAAATTCTATCTACCATACCCGTTAACAAATTTATTTTACTAAATTAAAAAATCCAAAAAATATTAGTTGTCTAACTTTAATAAGTTAGATCACCCATTAATTTTACCCCTGAAGACCTAACCCAAATGAAAAATATTTCAAACATGTATTTTTCTTTACCCGAAAATTAATTATTTAATACAAAAAATCAAACAATTTCTTACATTTTTTGGGATAGGAGCTGGTAGGGGTGTGGGCTGATAAAAAATACTCTAAAAGTATTTTGTATTTAAAGCTTTTAATAAGATCTGCACTATAATATGACTATCCATATTATACAATGGGTAACTCATTTTTATCCATTTAAAGATGAGTCAAATACTTCATCTATTTTTGTTTAACTCGGTTTTTGATCGACTCAACTCGCTCTTTGTCACTCCTACATGTTATTATTCTTTGTAATGCGTTTAGAATGACAACATTTTAGTCACATTAGTGTTTCACACTATTCTTTAAATAAGACTTCCTAAAATTTTTTATTATTCTAATGGTAATGTGATTTGACTCAAGTGCATATATATGGATTCAGAGGATGATGGCTCTGGTTCAAGATGGTTTTTTCAAAAGTGTAAGAGTCCCATTACAAAAACGGGATACACAACTTGTGAATGTGGGTGTAAAACATGGGTGAACGATGGGACTAATGAGAAATGGCTCGTTTTGGATAGCCCATTGGCAAGTCCTCCACTTAACAATAAAGGTCCGATTCTTCTTAGCGATGAGGGGGAGTCTGAAGAGGACTATGAGTTGTTGGAAGGAAAAGAAGAATGGTGGAGCTTGCTGAGAGTGAAAACCACAACAAAGGTCAAACATATTTTTTTGGCCACACTATATGGACAAGTTTAAGAGTTCATGAGGAGGAATGTAATGATGAGGAGTCGGGTGAAAAGGGGTCAGATTATAAGGAGTGTAAATGCTTGTAAAAAGATGAGTGCTATGATCGTACTGAAGTTATTCCTCTAGAAGAGAAAGAACATGTTTCTATCAAAGAAACACTTTCTTTAGTATTCCGATTAGATGACGAGGAACCCATTCTCCCCGAGAAAGAATAATTGGAAAAGGAAATTGAAGATCATTTTGCTGAAATGGAGATGTGTTTGTTGGAAGAACAAATAAGCCTTTCAAATCTTCACCTGTTTTGCAGATGCAAAGTGAAAAATTAAGTGACTGTAAGTGTGACGCCCCGAGCTACCTCCGAGATGCGGACACGGAACCTAGGACCACAAGTGATCCCAAGCTAACCTTGCTAGCATGATCATGAGCATACTAAAGATAATAAACTGTTGCGGAAGCTAAATCATACTTGAAATGAAAAAATGGGGAATACCCATATTCTATAACTAAGATATTTGAAAATAATGAGTTTAATACAAAAGAAATATTAACTCAATATTAAGCTGAATCTAACTATGTCTGAAAATAGCCTCAAAAATAGACTAGACAAACTAAAATGAGCCCCAGCTAAATCTAACAAAAACTTAAACTAAATGACTAGAGACTGAAATGAAAATCATGACTGTTGTCCTCGGAGAATGAGGGATCACCACTGAATCTACTGAACTTGAAATCGAGAAATCAATCTATGCGTGATCTGGATGTTGAGAACCTGAGCCTACATCATGATAAGATGTAGCGCACGTATGCGTCGGTACTTCAAAGGTACTGAGCATGTAGGATAGTGTAAAGCTGAAATAAAGCATGAATGAACAAGCACAAAAACAAGTATAATAATATAAACATGATGTGCTGATTTCTGAGCTAACTGGATGCAATGACCAATTTATAACATGCTGAAACTGAATACTGAATATACTGATAAATGGTCAATGTAGAGAGTCTGACTGAACTGTGGGAGATACTAATAACTGATAATAAAACCAAATGAGCTAAATGTGGAGTCCGATGTATACGCCCCATCGAGAGGACCCAATTTACCCTTCCAAAGGTATAAAGGCATGGTGGCGTGATCAGTAAAATGATTGCACACAGAGGGGACTTACAACCCACTACACCATTTTCGGCCTACAGCAACACCACGTAAGTGTAGCCTAAACTAGCATAAAGTGTGGCCTTTGATAAAAGACTACACTTTTGGACATTCAGCAACACTTTTTAGGGGCTGCCCAAAAGAAGCGTAACCTTTGACATTAGGCAACACTTTTTAAATGTTGCCACCTTTGGCAACACTTATAAAGCGTAGCCAAATAGGTATAAAGGCACGCTTTGAAGACGTGCATTAGCAACACCTATTTTTTGTTAGACTACACTTAAAAGCGTTGCCTTTTTAGATTAATTGGTCACACTTAAAAAGTGTTGCCTTTTATTGGTCATCTATTGCAACATTTATATCTCATCTATTGCAACACTTATAAGGTGTTACTTTATATGTCATCTATAGCAACACTTATTAATTGTAACTTTATATCTCATCTATAGCAACACTTATAAAGTGTTGATTTTATATCTCACCTACAGCAACACTTACAAAGTGTAACTTTATATCTACCTAGAGCAACACTTTCAAAGTGTAACATTTTATCTACCTAGAGCAACATTTACAAAGTGTAACTTAAACATTTATAAGCCTACATGTAGCATAAATATATATAATATATTTACATACATACAAGTGACCTAAAACACAAAATGAACTAATTAAGCATTAAATTGAAGAGATATTTCAAATAAACTTCGAGAAATATTTCATGTACAACCAAAACATAGAAAGTGATTGCTTAAAGATCTCTAATATCAACAAGTTCCAAAAACCCAAAAGTGTCATTCAAACGTATATGACAACAATACAAAAATTTCTTCATCTTTTGCCACAATGGATCGAGTTTACTTCTGGCCAAATTCAAATTCAGTTACCTACATTTTCCTACACATTTAAAATAAAATTATAAGTTTGTGAATTAATTGTGGAAGTGCATAATCAGAGAGAATTCACTGCAAGACAACCAATCCAAATCTAAATACAATTTCAATGTAAAAATTACACATTATAAGGACTACAACATTTGTGCAGTCTTCTGTTGTTGGCTCTCAAAAATTAAACTTCAAAAGTTTAATTTGTGCAGTCTTCTGTTGTAAACTTCAATGTAAAAATTACACACAAGTAGTTCAAACAAACCAGTGATGACCACTAGAAACAAGGTTCATAACATACTCTAGAAGTGTCCACAAAAATCAATACATAACAACATGAACATGATATTTTCAAAGAACTGCAGCATAGGCCAAGGTTCATCATCAGACTGCATCTCTAGTGCATACAAAAAAGACACAAACATCATCAGATTGTATCTCTAGGGCAAGGTTCATCATCAGACAGTGAACAAAAAATACAGACAAGAGAAATGTTTAGTAAGAAGAGAAGGAATGCTATAAAAAGACACAAACAAAATCTTGAACAAGTTAAAGATTTAACAGACAATGAACAAAAAATAGAGGACCAGTAGCAAGAAAAACCCCTGCAGATTTTCCTCTCCAATTTTCTCTGCCTTGTCTGTAGTTTAACAAGTAACCATTAAGGATCTATCAAACATAATAAATCTACCCACAAGATCACAGGCTGCACCACATTAATACTAACAGCCACAACCACCTAGCTAACAGACACCAATATGAATAAAATAGCAATAGCTTCATAAAGGTGCAGACAGACCATTAAAAGACCAGCTACAATAGCCTTTACAATGAGCTGGATTCAGAAGCTAAAGGTAGAAAATAGTGTCATCATTTTTTTAATTGAACACCATTGGAATATGCCATAAAACATAATGTGTTAGCCACAGACTCCTCAATTGCACAATACTAATAGAACAATTATTCAACTAACGATTCGAATGCTTAAACCAAAAACAAAAACATTCTTAACAGTTATAAATAGGTGGACTAAACTTAGACAAGTAAAAATAAGTTTTGAATTTCATTACCAATAACACCAACTAAACTAGAAGAAAAACAATATTGACACTATTAATAGAGAATTTGAAATATAAAATACCTTTTGATGAACCGAATCTTGAGCTGACCCCGAAGAATATGGAAGATTTGTGCCTTTTACAGCTTGTGCACTACTTGCATCAATAGGTGAAGCAAGGTTAGATCCAACACACCTGGGTATATCTTGAAAATTCAATCCAGGGTTGTTTTGTAGCAATTGAGTGAATAAATGTCGCATTTCTTCTCTCAATTCTTCCTTTAGAGAAGTGATTTCATCGGCATGCTTTTGTTTTAGATTGTTAATTTCCTCATCTTTCTTCAAAGAACTTGTTGTCACTGATCTACCATAGCACCTAACTCGACCAGGCTGCTCCTTTCCAAACACTGCCCTAAATGCATCATCAGCTGTTTCCCCAGAATTTTGGCGACTTTGAAGTTCAGCCTATTGAATAAAATTGGCATCCATAGTGAATTGTAAGTAGTATCAAGCATTAAAACATTATGAAAACTTTTCGTAAAAAATAATTAAACAATGTCGACAAATAATTGATATCTCCTTGAACTTGCACAAGAAGAAGAAGAAGAAGGCATACATGATTAAAATTTAATGTAGTCAAACTCCCCACGATATAAATGTTAAGTCTGAATAAAGTTCACTAATAATCCTCTTTGAAAAACTTACTATTGCAACTTGGGTATCAGCCTAGATTTCCTTTCCCGTCTTGGTACGAGTTGCAATAAATATTTCAGGCTTTGATGGTTCTTCGTTGTTTTTTTTGGCTGCACGCTATAGATTATATAAAAAGAAATTTTAAAAAATCAGTAAGTTCTTATAAAGTACAAAAAAATGAAAATCAAATTTTGTATGAAATGTCAGCTAAGTATTACCAATGCCACGCGTACTCTAGAAAAATTAATAGGTCCCATTCGATGCCTCCACTTTTGTTTTTTCCTGTTTTGAGAATTCATCTCGCATATAGCCTATTGTTAAAAACAAAGAGATAATTGAATTGATATCTATAAAAAGAAAAGATATGACACAGAATTAGTCGATGAGTGGAAATGCACCATTTTAACCTTACTTGAACAGTTGGGTGTTTCCAATACTCGATCAACTGGCGGAATTGATGATGTGGAATGCCATCAGGACATTTTGCTAGCATATCCTCAAGGGTACTGTCTTTATCAAAAAAATTCTTTTTAATTTTTTGCTTGTGTCGCCTCCAAGCATCACGAAGACCAGTCATCACCCACTTCTTTCCTTCTACTGGAAGTAGAAATTTGGACTATGCAAAATAAAATATATTTAGTTTCAGTAAGTAAAAAAAATATGAATTCTCATGAGTGGTAGTTCTTACATTGACGTATTCCCACATGCGCTTTTTAGTATCCTTTGGCACCACATGCCAACTAGTGTACATCAAGCTGATGAATCTAGGATTCCTTGCAATTGTTCCTATAAAGTTGCTTAATTGTGAAACTATCTTATTAGTTGGTCCCACCGCTTGTCCTTTATCAAATGTAACCTCCTTTCTTTCTTCCAAATTTCTTGCATGAATATCCTTACATGTTGTATGTCCTCGAACTTTTTTTGGCTTCGACATTTCTAGATTGATTTAACAGACGTGAAATAAGATATTTCTTTTATAATGAGTTCTAAATCATACAAGGTTTAAAACATACCTTTTGTACTACAATCAATGTCAATTTCCTTTTCGACATCACATTTATCTTTACTGAATTCTTCTTGTTCCACACGATCATCCAATCCTTTGTTATGTTCATTAATAGTAGGAGTATGCATAAATTCGACATCACTTGTTGTGTTGTTGTCACGTTTTGTTTCATCATCTTTGTGTATCCCTTGATCTTTTAGAAACTGATCAAGAGTACTAGCTGGTATGACCGGCTTCCTCTTTACCTGTTTGCAATTCGGTAGATCAAGAATATCATGTCGTGCCTCTCCATTACCTAGTGCTGTTCCAGTCGCATGTGCTGAAGCAGTAACATCTTTCTTCAATGACGTATGGAACCTTGAAGATGATTGAATGACTGATTTGTTCCCAAGCAATTTACTCTTTCCTTGTTGTGGAATGAAATCCTCAAAATTCTTTCTTTTATGTGATATTAGTGCCTGCTCTTTCTTAGCTTTATCATTGCGTTCATTTGCAAGTTGTTCTCTCTTAATCTTGAATTTGTTGGCCAATTCAGCACTTGATCGGTATTGCATATCAACATCCAGATTCTTCAATGGACTTTGACCTTTGTTTGGATTTAAACCCTTTTTCTTTAGCATTGTTGATTGATTCATTGTTTTTGCTTTGTTTAAATCTCTTCAATTTGTTTCCCAATAGTAAGTAAACCTACAAAATAATAAGATTGTTTAAGTGAAAGAAGTAGCAGCAATGTAATTTTGATATAAGGTTCACAGATGGATAGCTTCTTATAGTAGATTGCAACATTTTAGTTTCTAAAATTTTCAAAATTTCTCTAATATCCAGAACTTCCAAAATTTCCTGAATTTATACATTAAAGTACTGTATAATATTGTAGAACTTATACAAAACAGTAATTTAATTACAGAACACATTTTAAATCACATAATAAGTCAAACACACATACGTACAACAATCTAGGTGCAACACTATAATGAGTAAAGGTGCTAAAAGAGGAAGTAGACATAAAATCATATACACAGAGTCAGGATCTCTCATATAAAGGATTCATATATGCAATACCAACTAACTGATATAAAGCATAATTGTTGATACAATTTAATTAAATTTGGTATTTGTCATAAGACTCATTAGTCTGCTTATAGACTTAGCTAACAATGTGCATGTGGGATTTAGTGAATTTTTTGTAAGGCATAACTCAATATTGTAAAGAAATGGGCTCTAATAAAGCAGAATGAATAGGGACTGAGGATTGTAACTTAATACCACTATGTAACTGAATACCACAGTAAAACAGGACGGATTGAAATTGGAAGAACTACATGAACAAACAGAAAAAATTGATAACATATGAAACAAGATATTTCAAACAACTGCAGACGCGACTGTTTAAAAACTGGAGAGCTTCTTATTACTTAAATTAATAAAAGGTAAAGAGTTGTACCTCTCTCGGAGCGACAAACTCCGGACAACGACCAAATAAGAAGCAACTTCAAACTACAGAGTTGAATGCCTCTAATGCCAACTGCCTGATAATAAAATGAAACCAGAAAGTATATTAATAACAAACAACCAAATCAAGCAAAAATCAGCTAGAAGTATAGGTTCCTCAATAAAATAATAATCAGATAAGAAGGCAACATATTACATTCTACAGATTAGATATATTAATGTGTTTTACCAAAAAAACTATTATATTACAAAAAAACAGTGAGTGAGCACTATATGATCATCACAACAAAACTATTATATTACAAAAAAAAACAGTGAGTGAGCACTATATGAAACTCATGGTGTGTCTTCTTCAGACTCGACTTCATCATCAAACTCATCTTCACACTCATTTTCAATCTCGTCTTCAAGCGCATCTGAAAACTCATCTTCATACTCATTTTCAGACTCATCTTCGAACTCATCTTCAAACTCTTCTTCATACTCGACTTCAAGTTGTTGATTGACAAATTCCTCCACAGGCACATCAATGATTGTTTCTGGTAAATCAGTCCTTGTTAAGAGTACTTTACCATTATCTTTTGGTATAGATGGACCCTTCGAATGTTCAGATGTCTCATTTTCATAACTTTGTGGGAGATTAGATTCAACTTCATCACCCATGTTAAACAGGTCTCTTGGAACAGTCTTCATAACATAATGTTTATCTTGATCATATGGATCTTGCACATAGAAGCATTGGTGTACTTGAGATGCAAGCACAAAAGGCTCTTCCTGGGAACATCTCTTGTTAAAATAGACATAAGTAAGGCCATAAACATCTTTTTCTACCTCATACCAATCACACTTAAATAAAACAACCTTAAAATGGCTGTAATAGTTTAATTCAACAATATCAACTATTCTACCATAATAAGTCAAATCTGCAGCAATCGGATTTTTATCCTTTGAACTTGCAAAGCTTGTAGTTGAGGCAATTAGTGTAACACCACTATTTTGTGTTTTACGCCTTGTATCACGCTGCCTAACATGGAATCTATATCCATTTATGAGATACCCAGAATATCTTTTCGCAACAGAATTTGGTCCTCTAGATAATTGTTTTATCAAATCAGACACATCCTCTTGCAAAGCACTAGTTTCAAACCATTGAGAGAAGTTTTGACAATGATTCTTTGCTTTTCTCCATTTAGATCTTCGTGACTGATTATTAACCTCTTGCTCATGCTCTCTACAAAACATTTATTTTATTTGTTAAAATAATAAATTAAATAAGATAAAAATTAATTATACAAAAAGAATACTATATTCAAATTAAGGTACCTAATATATTCTTGAACATCGTCACAATTTCCCAATAAGTATGCATGTGCCTGACTTAGTGACTTGTCATCTAAAATGATTGGATCAGTTTTCTTTGCTCCTAAAGGAACTCCTTTGTTAGAAAACAAACTCACAGGTTCTGCGTCACTTGGGTCACATTCATCATTATTTCGCGCTCTCCTATTAAATCTGGTATGCACACCCCGATGCAGATATTTTGAGAATAAATTCATGCAATCTATTCACACTCGTGTCTCTGCTATGCAACCTTCTGGAAAACGCCTATTGCGAATGTATGATTTGAATGTACCCATTTCTCTTTCAGTGGAATACATCCATCGATTTTGCACTGGGCCGCCTAATCTCACTTCATTCACCAAATGAATAGGCAAATGAATCATGATATCAAAAAATGAAGGAGGAAAAATTCGCTCCAACTGATTTACTGTTTCTATGATCTCTACTTCTAAGCAATCTAGTTCCTCCAATGTGATTACTTTTTGGCACAAACGATGGAAGAAGGAACTTAGACGAATCAAAGGAATAGCCACATGATCAGGAAGAATGCTTTTAATTGGTATTGGAAGCAAGTAATGTAACATGAAATGAGCATCATGGGTTTTATAATTAGATACCTTTCTTTCATCCAAGTGCACACACCTAGATATATTTGAGGCACTACCATCAGGTAGCTTGGCTGTCTTTAAAACTCCACAAAAGATGGATTTCTCTCCATTTGTCATTGAGAAACATGCCTTTGTAAGCTTTGTTCTCTTACTATCTTCTGTATCTTGTGGATGAAGGTTCTTCCTGATTCCCATATCTTTCAAATCATACCGTGCTTTTGCATGATCCTTTGTTTTTCCTGAAATATCCAAAAGAGTTCCAAGTATGCTATCAACTATGTTCTTCTCTATGTGCATTACATCAATGTTGTGACGTAACAAGTTATGCTGCCAGTAAGGTAATTCAAAAAAAATTGACCTTTTTTTCCATGGGCCATCATTTGATCTCTTTTTCTTTTTCCCAAACACATTTTCAAAATCACGTAAGCTATTAAGAACATCAATTCCCTTTAAAGGAGCTGGAAGAGGCCTAAATTCAGTTTTTCCATTGAATGATCTTTTGTTTGATCTCCATGGATGATCCATCGGTAGAAAAACATGATGATCCATATAGCACATTTTTCGACTATGTTTAAGATAGCGAGAATTAGTGCCATAGTTACAGCAAGGGCAAGCAAACTTGCCTTTTGTACTCCAACCAGATAACATAGCATATGCAGGAAAATCACTGATTGTCCACATAAGAGCTGCCCGCATTTGAAAAGTTTCATTTCTGGAAGCATCATATGTTTCAACCCCAGAATCCCATAATAATTTTAACTCGTCTATCAATGGTTGTAAGTAAATATCAATGTCATTTCCAGGTGATCGTGATCCAGGTATAAGTAAAGAAAGTATGGAATATTCAGATTTCATGCACATCCAAGGCGGCAGATTATAAATCATCAACATAACTGGCCATGTGCTATGTGATATACTCATGGTTCGAAATGGATTGAATCCATCACTTGACAAGCCAAGTCTCACATTGCGACAATCTAGTGTGAAATCTGCATGCACCCTATCAAAGTCTTTCCATGCTAGACCATCAGCGGGATGCCTTAACTTTCCATCTTTAGAACGTTTCTCTTCATGCCACCTCAACGAATCTGCCATCTTTGAGCACATAAATAGCCTTTTGAGTCTAGGAATTAATGGAAAGTGTCTCAAAGTCTTTGCAGAAACTTGATGTTGCTTTTTTGAAGACTCAAGCTCACTATCAACTTTAGGATCTTGAATATACCGTGAAGCTCCACAAGTGTGACAAAATTCGTCTTCCTTATGATCATTCCTGAACAACATGCAATCATTTGGACATGCATCAATTTTATCATAATCCAGACCAAGATTCTTAACCATAGACTTGGTTTTATTGTAAGACTGAGGAATGTTCAACTCGGGAATCGCCTCTTTTAATAGCTCTAGAAGAGAAGTGAATGATTCATTGCTCCATCCATGTAAACACTTCAACAAATATAAGCGAAGTGTGAATGATAATTTAGAGAAACCTATACAACCAGAATATAATTCTTGGTTTGCCTCTTCAAGTAAGCTATAGAATTTCTTGGCATCTTCATTTGGACTATCATAAACTCCTCCAGCCTGTGCAACATCTCTAAATTGATCATTCAACAACCCATCAATATCATCACACGAGTAATCCATATCATCATCAACATTCAACTTGATATCCCATTCCCCGTGATTGATCCATCTAGTATAGCCTTTAATGAATCCATGGCATATTAGATGATCATACACTACATTCCTTCGGTTCCAAAGAATATTACAAAATTTCGCACATGGACACTGAATTTTCTCTCCATGAGGATCTCCATAAGAGTAAGCGAAATCTAGAAATGATTCAATGCCATCAATATACTCTTTGCTATACCTTGCTAAATTCATCCAATCCTTGGATGGGATATGTGAACTCCTAGAAGAATATATCAATATTTAGTCTTTCAGCAATAATCATGAACCAGTTAACAAATAAGTTTTAAAAGTCACGAGTAATCTATCAGAATCATGTGTTATCAGATGATAAAAATTTCTTACCTAGTCATGAGGCATTCACTATGTCAAATCAAACCTTTAAACCTCCACAAATGTTTTTCAATGCTGATGATACTATAAATAAAAAAATAAGTACAATTAATAGGATATACACAATTAAGAAAGAAAATAAATAAATATAACTCAAATGATTAAAAGTTAAAGTTTTGTAATTGAATTTGGAGCTTTAGTACTTTTAGAGTTTTATGAGCTTTTAGAGTTAAAGCTTTAAAATCTCATTCTTGTGCACACAAAATCAGAGAAGTATCAAATATCTAATACCATGTTTAAACATTCAAGCAAACATTCTTATGATCCTATAATAGATATTCGATCAACGACTTATGAATGTCTCTTTGTATCAGAAAAAAAATAATTTTTATATTTGTTGTCTTAGTAATAAAACAGTTTCTAAATTTCACTGTATTAGTGACACAACAAGTTTTTATATTTCTGAACTGTTGTATCTGTGATACATGAAGAAAGATCTTTTTTATCCTTACTTTTTGTGGTGAATGTTTTGTGAGTGTAATATTTTTTATAAATGTTATCATGTTATTAAGATTTCGGCATGAATGAATGTAAACTAAAGAACTACAATACACCCAACCCAATCAATAAAAACATTATGCGTCATAGTCCAAAGATATTCAAAAGGTCAAGCATAAGAGTAGAAAGAAATAACTTTAAGTGAAATAATGAAAGCATCAGAATGACGATATGAAACCTCCATTACCGGCCTAAATTTATTTGTTTCAGTTGGATTATTCTAAAATACTCTTGCTTGACACAGAAAAATTTGTTTCAGTTGGATTACCATTAAAGTAGGATGTTTGATTACTCTTTATGTTGTGTTTATCTTTCTCCCGTATTTAGTGTGGATTCTTACGTAGAATTTATCATCAGTGTTGTTAACTGTTTGCTTGACACAGAAAAATCATTCTTTTGTAATCTGTGCATCTGCTTGATGCTTTATTAATGACATCCTTCTTACTTCACAAAAAAATATGTCTATGCAGATGTGTTGTCTTATGAGCATATCTGTCATATAAAGTGGGAAGAAACACGGACTCTTATGATCATATCTGGCATGTACAGTAGGGAAGAAACATAGACCAGAACAATCCACACAATAATTCTGAAAATTATAGACACCAACAAAATGGTCTCAAACTATTCTAATTTGCTCTGAGATGAGTAGTTAAGCAATCAAAAAGTTTAAGTCTGTTATTAAAAGTAAAATCAAGTCTTCAAAACACAATGTGCACTGGCAACCTAGCTAACCTTATTGAAATAATCATATTATTGTCTAACAAACCACATAAGAAGTACGAATAATTATATAACATTAGCATATATAAGATAACACAAAGATATAACCATGAAACCAAAATTATATGGTCATCGCCTAGTACACATATAATCACTCCATACTTAAAGTGTTCATCTTTTGAAAAAGACAGAACTTGGTCAAAGATCCAATAATTTTAAAAAAAATCAAACTTTGATACTTAAACATCCTATAAAAAAAAAATTCAAAGCATCTCGACTCGGCAATAACAACTCTGGCCTTGTAATAAACCTTACCAGCGGAAGACCCCATAATGAGACTACAAAGTGAATCTCTAGCAATCCTAATGTTCAAAAACGATCCCAATATATGTATCTCTCTATCTGCAATTACTATCCTAGTCTTCGTCACATTTTCTATAGCAAATTTTGTCACTATGCCATTGACTGTATAAAGGAAATGGATATCATATCTAACATATATCGTGACAAAGCAGAAACTTTCACATAATTTGATAAAGGAAATGGATAATATTTGTTGTATGTATCACTTATTTTGATTCAGTATTCTTTACATACTTGATGAGTCTCTTCATGTCCTAAAAGTGAGAGATGCTAGTTTTAATACCTTATTTCTACCATGTGTCCTATAAATTAAAGACATTTAAGAAGTTATATATTCATGTTTACATATAAAGACATGGAGAATAAACTGACCTCAATATACCAAAATGAGATGATTATCTCATTAGCACATGCTACACTTGTCATGTCATATTTCATTATATTTTTTTCAATCAATTCATCTGATCCATGGAAATGGTACAAGTCGCAAGTAAGATCAGCGTGGATCAACCTTCAAACTATAAAAAAGATATCCAATCAGTACTAGGTAAGTAACATAGCATGAATCATCTAATTAGAGCTTTTGAATTCACTATTCAGCAAGAAAATCGTGAGGAGTAGAAGTGTAAAGAACAACCCCAAATTTCTCATTTTTAAATAGGTCCTTGGCTGGAAGAGTTTAAAACATGCGAAGGAACAAAAGTATAAGCTTTATGTATGTATGACAAAATTCATATTAAAGAGGACAGAACAACAGGAGATAGCAGAATATGCAGTCTTAAAAGATGATTTTTAGTTCACTTTTTTGGACAAAGTAGACTTAGCTAGTGAAACTCAAATTTGGAGAGTCCAATTTCTAGTTCACTTATCAGAATATGCAATGGTGTAATAACATATTTGGAGAGTCCGATAAACATAGTTAAAAAGTGAGAAGGTTCTCTATGATTAGGAATGTAAAGAAGAAAACAACATTATTTTCTAATGTTAATTCTTATATGTTAAAACTATTTTTTTATTTAGTTTCATCACGAAGATGAATAGACTATAGTCTTATAGATATGGTCACAAGTTTCAAACTTGAAAAACATGTTTATTCTTCAAAAATTACAAAAGAATAAATGTATATTAAGCTCTTCAGTAGGCTTATTCCTGCTCACTACTAACTAGAATATCCACAGTTTGACATAGACTAAAAGGAAAGGCATCAAACAACTGAAGTCACAGAGAAAACATGTTGGTGGATACCACCATAGGTCTCTTCCCCCTGAAGCTCAAAAGAAACACCACTTTGTGGAGCATGACAGAACCATTGAAGTCGATAGGAAGGAGAAACATAAAGTCAGTGAGGAAAAAAGCACTTGACCATAGACTGTCTTTACAATTCTATTTACTACTATTTTATATGGAAGAACTTGACATGTAATGAAATTGGAAAGTTACAAGCTATTTTCTCATCTGTTGCATCTAACTCATCAAATAGGTCAGACTTTAGCATCATACAAGACTTTCTCTCCATTTTGTTTGCACTAACTTCTCCTAATTCTTCTAAAACTTAGATGAAGCAAGCCTCACTTTCAACAATATCCAAAACTCAACAAGTTGTCCATACCACAAAAACAAATCTTCTACTTTTATTCTGTTATTGCTAGTAACAGTTAGCAGAAAAGACTGTCACAAGTTACTGCTCCCTCTCCACCCATTCTAGACTTTAAAAATATATGTTATATCTCCAATTTCTAAGGCATATGATTTATATTCTATATAGTGCAACTCAAACTACAAAACAAGTTTAACAAATTCATAGTACGAGCTGATCCCAAAACAACTAAGCAATATTGAACCAATGTTTCTGATCTATACTTGCAAAATGCACTAGACAAACAACAAAATGACTTCTAGACACTTCAAGACATGTAGTCAAAAAAAGAAAAAATTTACCAGCAAATAGCTACAAGACAGAATCAATGTTGTTAACAAAGGAACAAACCAAGCTTAAGACGAGCACAATCATGAACTCAGGAAGACTAAAAAAGACTAAAAAACAGTGACATTAAAACATACATTAAAACTTTTTCAAATTCATGTAGAGTAGCTACTTACACTTGACGAAATCTATATTACGGACAAAATATTATAGGTATCGCCAACTTCAACACTTCAGTTCTTCGAAGAAAGATAACTTAGCTACAACTCAGTTCTTCAGATACTTTTGACTTAGCTTCAGCTTCTACATTCAACATTCAAGAGAAAAAATTAGTCTGTCAAAGATAATCTGCCCATTTATACGTCATACAACTACAAACTAAACTCCCTAAATCAACAAAATTCGTATCAATAACACAAGTCATAAAAACCCTAACTTTAATTTTGGACTGACACAAAAGAATATCAAAATCTTAGAGCTATAATTTAGACTTTTGAAGATAAAATATCTTACCTGATAAACTCTATTCCAACAACCCTAAAGCTTTAAGATATGAAGCAAGTTGATTTGTGAAGCATTTTCTTTCAACTTTCAAAAGAAAATCTGATGGAACAACAGTTTACCCAAGAATCTTTGAAGAAAATCGTCTTCTTCAGCTCTCCAATCTTGAACAACAAAGCTCGGAGAGGAGGATCTTCTTCTTCAGTTTGCTTTAGAGGAATCGTGTTGCTCTTTGATTCTTCGACTGAAAATGGTGTTCTTCAACTGAACTTTGACAGAGTTTGTGACGAAAATCGATTTCTTCCGTTCTTCGATCCTGTTTTTCAGTTCTTGCAAATGGGTTCTTCAATTCTGGATGAAAATGTATTCTTCACCTGAAAGTGAAAGTTTCAGCTGAAGTTTCTGTAATGTTTCCCATTTTGTTGTTTTAATGTTTTATTATTTTTAATATTTCTTTAATGTTTTATTTTTTTGGCCAAATAAAAATGGAGGGAGATCAAATTTTAATGTTAAAATGTTAGAGGGAATATAAAATTTTGGGAAAACACTAAGGCAACATTTTTCATGTGTTGTATTAACAATTATAAAAATAACACACTTTAAAAGTGTGGCCATTTATGTAAATAGTTGTTGCCAACTATAACAACACTTATAAAGTGTAGGTTATCCGATTAAAGAGTACACTTTAAAAGTGTTGCTAATATTAGTGTAACTAAAAGTCAAAATCTTTGGCTACACTTTAAAAACGTCCCCAAAAGTATTTTAGGCAACACTTTATAAGCGTTGTCCAGAT